CAGGAAAAACAATGCTGAAGGGCAACCAGCAAGGATTTATAGCAGGTAGATCCTGCCTGACTAACCTTCTTTCTTTTTATGACCAGGTCACAAAATGTTTAGGCACAGGAATCAAGGTAGATGCCATTTACTTGGATTTTAAGAAAGCCTTTGATATGGTATCTCATCCTATTCTCATAAATAAACTGAGAGGCTGTGATGTAGATGATTATATGGTTAGGTGGGTGGCAAATTGGCTTAGGGGTCACACCCATAGAGTGGTAGTGGATGGGTCAGTATCGACCTGAAAAGATGTGGGCACTGGAGTCCCACAAAGCTTGATCCTTGGACCTGTGCTGTTCAATGTCTTCATCGGTGGCTTGGATGAGGCCATGGAAAGCACTCTGTTCAAATTCACTGATGATGCCAAATTATGGGGTAAAGTTAACACACTAGAGGGTAGGGAATGAATCCAGGCAGATCTGGACAGAAAATGTGGGATGAAGAATGTTGGAAATGTGGGAAGAACAGAATAGGATGCAGTTCAACAAAGACAAGTGCAAAGTGCTGCACCTAGCAAGAAGGAATCACCAGCACACTTGCAGGCTGGTGGAGGACCTTCTCAGCAGCACAGCAGTGGAAAGGGATCTCAGAGTCATTCATGAGTCTTCAGTGTGATGAAGCGATCAGTAAAGCTAATCACACTCTATCATGCATTATCAGGTGCATGACAAACAGGTCCAGGGAGGAGATACTTCCCCTCTATGTGATATGGGTCAGACTGCAGTTGGAGTACTGCATCCAGCTTTGGGTGCCATGCTTCAAGAGGGATGTGGACAACCTCGAGAGGGCTCAGAGGAGGGCCACTCATAAGATTAGGAGCCTGAAGGCAGAGCCCTATGAGGAGAGCTTGAGGGCCCTGGATCTCTTCTGCCTCCACAAGAGAAGGCTGAAAGGCAATCTTTTGGCTGCCTACAAATTCATTGGTGGGGAAGAGTGGAGCAGCAAGGAATAGGAGATGCTCTGTTTACCAGGGCACCCCGTGGAGTAACTAGGAACAATGGCCAAAAACTGACGGAGAGCAGATTTAGGTTAGACATCAGGAAGGACTTCTTTACAGTGAGGATTGCCAGAATCTGGAATGGGCTTCAAAGGGAGTCAGTGCTCTCCCCTACCTTGGGGGATCTTTAAGAAGAGGCTAGAAATGCACCTGGCTGTGGTTGTCTGACCCCAGAGCTCTTTCCTGCCCAGGGCAGGAGGTCAGACTCAATGATCTGCTGAGGTCCCTTCCAACCCAGATGTCTATGAATCTATGAATCAGTGACCCTGATTTCTCATTAGAAATGTTCTCATGTGCTTATGTAACATGTATCCATGGTGCTGTTAGGTCATATGCCACAATTACAGGGACCCTAGTTAAGATTTTTGGCACTGTGTCTGATTACCTGACCCACTAAGTGGTGACTGGAAAAGAATGGGGCTCAATGGCCAAACTGTTATAATTGGCCTGGAGGGCTGAGTTGAAATTGGTCCATTCTCCTCCAGCTGAGCAGTAGTTAGGGAATATATTTCAATTTGCAGATCTCAAGCTGGTTGGACCCCATCCCAAATCTTGCTGTGAATACTAAACGGACGGGAGAGAAGCCCTCATGGCCAGGGGAAGATTTTCTGGAATGCCATAGGCATACAGTAGAATTTAGACAACCCTGGGTAAATCTTAAAAGGCCTTGAACCTGAGGGACCCATCCAACAGAGGGACTGGAGCAGATGGGAGAAGCCCCTGATTTCATTGAAAGTCAAAGGAGGGTTCTGTTTATATCCCCACCATATGATTGACAGAGCCACACCAACAGGGTCATGGTGGCCCCCAACTTGGCATCTCAGGAACTTCATTTTCAGTTACAGTGGTACCTCTTAGTAAGTTTTACAAGAGACAGAATTATAGGAACTTGGTGATTTCAACTCTCAGTAACAAAACTTTATCAAAAACAAGCATTGAAGTTAGCACATACATACATACACAGGGTGATCCACTTGCGGGTGGAGAAAAAACAAGAGAGGATATTTGGGAAGTTCTTTTAGCCAGGAGTGTACCAAGACATGGAAGAGTACTGTGCGTCTTGCCCAGAATGCCAGCTAGTTGGACCTAGGCCCAGTTACAGAGTCCTTTAGGGCTCCACCCACTGATCAGCACCCCATTTGAGTGGGTGGGAGTGACCTGCTCAGATCAGTGGAGCCAAGTGCAAGTGGTAGCCAGTTTAATCTTGTGCTGATAGACTATGCCACCAGGTACCCAGAAGCAGCAGCCATCCTCTCAGCCTTGGCTGAATTGGTTGCCTCAGTTTTTGAAAATACTCTCTTCCCCAAGAAGTGTTAACCTAACAGGGCATTGTGCTTATGTCATGGCTTTTACAGGAGGTCTGGTCACTCTTAAAGGGCCATTTGGTGAAGATCTCAATTTACCATCCCCAAACATGTGGTTTGGTTGAGAGATTCAACCGAACTTTCAAGTAAATGTTGTGAAGCTTTCTAGTTGGGGAACCCCAAAGTTGGGACAAGCTATGGCCCTATTTATACTTGTGATTTGGGAGCTCTTACCATCATTATCTGGCATTTCCCCTTTTGAAATGTTGTATGGCTGGCAACCCCAAGAATATTAGGCCTCTTACAAGAATCTACAAAAGCCCAGGGGCAAGAGCCCAAAATGCAGTACACTATGTTCTTAAGATGCAGGAAAAGCTATAGTGGGAACCCTAACTAATCTCTCCCAGCAGTGAATACAAGCAGTAACGTACCCCTCTAAGAAACAGCACATTGCCACATTCTGAACACTGAAATAAATGATGAAATCCCAATTACATCTTTCTTTTTTGGAGACAGATTTGTTTAGGGGTACTGCAAAGTTTCTTTCTTCCAGAGAGCCTTTCTACCATAACAAAGGTGACGTAGCATCCATATATTTGTTCATTCAAGTTTTATCAACCACATACTTACATGACTTTAGACCCACAGTAATACACTTTTAGGAATACAGTAAAAAATAATTAAAAAGCTGGGGACAGTGCTGTCCAAACATCTATAGACACTTATTTTTCATTCCTTCAATATTGTACATACAAACATATTGTCACTTAGAAAACCCCAATAAGTTGACATATTAAGAACTCCAATACAAAGCAATTTAAACAATTTTTCTACTCTTCAAATTCTCTCCCAAAAAACAACTCACCTAGACTCTTTACATTAATATTGATTATTTTTTAAAGAAAAGATTAAGTCCCAACAAAAATTAATAAAATGAAATCCAGTGTTCCATGCTTTGT